GTATTAGTTTGACATTAAACGTTAATTAATTGGAATGGTAATTGACAGAGGCTTACTGGCATGCATCATTAATGTGTGATTTGTGTAAACAGCAAGTTTATTAATTAGCCAAAATTAGTATTTGTGTGAAAACCCTAAACGATAATAAAGGATTCCATTTAAGGAACACAGAATGGAAGAGAAGAGAACTTTTTGTATAGGACTAGGAAATTATTTATTTCTTAAAGAAGAATTTGTTAAAGAGGGAAAAGAAGAGTTATTCTGGGTTCGATTTATTAATTTTATTTGTCTAAATATGAGTCAAAATTTATAAATAAAACATAAATAACAAAAGTTCAATCACGAAAAGCTTTCGTTGAAATGGACTGGAATTCTATTAGTAATTCTACTCTCTATTTCGGCCATTGATGAAAATTGCTAAATCGAAATAAGTGAACTCGTATCTATACCAATGTAAGTGAACGAGTAACTGTATCATCTTCCCATTCCCATGTTCACATGTTCAAATTATATCCTTCCTTGAATTCTGAGTAAGTCGTAGCACAATAATAGAAGAAAACAATCAGAAGTGACTTGGATGTCAATCGATATTGTCCTCATTTTTGTTAAATCTCTTTAACACCAGATTTGCATAGCCACATCCTTTCATGACGGTTCTGATAATACACGATTCAAATTTTAACGATATTGTAAATCCATAGTTAGTAATAATTTCCAATTCAATTAAATAGTTGATAAAACAGTGCTACTAACATGAGAAATAATATATTTTGCAGATATACGACTATGAAGTGTATAACATATGTGGTATAAAGTCAGGACTTATTTTCGTTTTGAGGCTATGTTATTGTAAGTGTAAATCACTCTACGTCTGAATTAATTAAAAACTAATTAATTAAATTCATTCAACGATAATAAAAGTTAAATCGAAAAGTAAAGTAAAAAGTTTTTTGTGCTCTAGAACTTTTTTTGAATTCTCGTTCGGAATGTTGAAGTTCAAACAAAAATTCGGAAATGTTCGTATACTTTTCCTTATCTGTTTATATTGTTACTGGATGACTGTCAAAAAGTATTCAAAATCTGTAAAATGATTCACTTTTTTAGTTTTGATGAAATAACGATATCCACAGAAATTAGACCCGTTTCAGTGTAGTAAAATTGCGTGGAAGAAGAGGAAGAATAACTCTGGCTTTGCCGAAATGTCAATACCTTTTATACAAAACAATATTGAGTTATTGATGCATGTACTGAAATCACTATAAAGTAATTCAAAGCAGCAAAGTTCAAATTAAAACTTAACAAAACGTTTTCATATTAGTGCAAACATGTAAAGTATCTTATATTAAACGATTTTGTTTAAAATGGTATAATAAAAATATGTCTTATATTTAATTTTTGCAGTTAGAATATACAAAACTTAGTATATTTACTTCTCATATTATGATCTATATGTTTTCCGTTGAACATATATCTGACGTGGTAAGAACTTTCTTTACGGTTGGGATTGCAAAATGTCGTGCTCACTTAAAAACCTATCCAAATACCATTTGAAGGCGTTGTAATTTAGATTGTATGCAATATATTTAGATGTGCGGGCTTTGTTGAGTCCATTTGTTGAGTACAAATTAAAAGTTCTTTTTTGTTTTAGACCTCAATATCCCGAAAATCATCATCAAGAGTATATAAGAGTATACATCAACTTTTCGTGGGTGAAAGAAACTGTGTTGTGAAGTCATTTGAATACTTATACATGCGTTACTTCATTTAATATGTTAGAAATGCAAATAAAGGATTCTTAGTTGATGTATTGTCAATATATTCAGAAACTTAATGTATTCACATTTCGACAGTGTCAGGACATAAAAACAAAATAAAATTACAATATATTTTTTAATAAAAAAATACAAATAAAATATGAACAAAAAATTGAGAATTAATAAAAACAGTGCCAGGACACTGCAGAAGCGACCAAACCTACCTACATCAGGAAGAGATGAAAAACTTTTAGAATTTGTGCACTGCGACAAAACCAAAACAGCAACAATTTTTAAAACTTTTCCCGATTCGCAAAAAATTAAAGTTTCAATTGTGGATTCCTTTGGTTTAAGGATAAAAATAATTCATAAAAAGTTTGCATTTTTTCAACTTCGGAATTTAAAATTGAATTTTATTTACAATCTGTGATTTTACTCCGATTTTGTTTCAACTACAAATAATGCAAAATATTCAAAAACTAATTAAATAAATATCTGCTATGAAGCTAAGACATTTTTTTATAATTTCCTATACTAAGTAAAATGTTATGAAAATTGTAGATCTTATTTTAAATCAAAGGTTGTCCCACATTTATTTCTCAAATAAATAAATCTATTGCGGTTTTATATTAACATAGACATATTAGCAGCAGATCAAGGACATTACGAACAATAGAAAATTGTTCCCACTGCTTCTTGTTTCTTAAGTTTAAAAAGTTTTAATCTTACAAGAATCAATAGGATTATATTTTATCTGGTATAATTAATTATTATTGGTGATTTATTCGTTCACTTCTTTTGCTGAAGATGTTTCTCCTCTACAATTTCGAACTAGGTTTCTCAAATATTGAGGATGTCCAAAGGTTCTGTTACATCGATAACCATATCCATGCGCTGCCGTACCAGAGCATAGAAAACAGTCATACAAAAGTTAAGGAAGTCTTTGAAATCTTTAATAAAATTTAGAAATTACCGACCCTCTCTTATTGAAAAAAAATAAGGTAATTTAATATCAAAGCTGAAGTCACACTTCTGTGTGACAGAGTTGAAATAACCGACTTTTTTTCTACATCTTAAGATCAATATCACACAATATCAGTTATGGTTCAGAACCAAGCAACCTCCAATCAATGATGAATTAATAATGGATTTTGTAATGGGCTTTCTTCATTTAATGGGCTTTCTTCATAACTCTAAAGGCAGCAGAATACTCGAGAGTACTGTATGGAAGAGTCAAATAAAGCTGTTGTTCAACTCTATGAGAAAAACTGGAAAAAATTTAAACGTTTGTCATTAGACAGACTTTAATGGAAATTATTTGTTACGACCTTGTGTTCCTTGTAGCAATCATAAGTGATGGCTCCAATTGCTTCAATCGACCCTAATATGGATGATAAGTGCTGAATCTGATTGTATCTACAAGGTATAAAAATAAATTAAATAAAATTCAAAAAGGATAAAGTCGGATTTACAAATCGAAGCCTCTCATGATCGATAACTAAGTATTGCGAATAGCTCTTAATGGAGTTTTACCGATCATAAGATGAAACATAAAGTGTTCAATACACAGTGTAACTATCTTGGCTATAAAAACAAGGTGAAAGAATAGAATTATTAGTAGTAAATAATTTCTAACAATAATGTTAGACGTTATAACGTTTTTATTAGCGAGAAATCTAAATCTCCACAATCATTTCAAGCGATTTCTTTCTACTTTATTAAACATAAAACAAGAAGCAGTTGCTGCGGCTTAGTTGTTCGGAGAGCGGTAACAACAGGTGATAACAAAGTGTACGCTTGTGTGTTGAATATGTATTTAAAATTCAACGCACGAATGTGTTGAATAAAAACTTTATTCGAAAATTGGGGAAATGCGGCGAATTTGCTAATAAGATTGGAGCTTGCGCACTGCATGTATTCAGCTATAAGGACTCCTCCAGTTTTTGATTAAATGGCAGAAGGAAATGCTTTAGTACTTCGCTGGCAGAAGCAGATAAAGTACATTGCTATTAAAGAAGTTTTTCACTTTAATTGGAAACTAAAAATATACGTAACTACAAAATTTTTATTATTCTTAGAAAGAATAATAGTACATCACGAATTATTAGATCTATTATATAAAATATATTACTTTTACCTATTTGAGTGGTACAAAAGATATGAAAACACCAATTCAGTTTATGGGTTATGAAATACATATTTTTTATTCTATTTTTATTACTAAAATAATTAATCCACATTTCAGCTTATCTTTAATGAATTGTATGTGTAATGAGGAAAGCATATTGCTTGAGGAAAATTTCATTTACTTAGTGGATTAAAGATTTGGTGAAGGCGGAAGGACTTATTTGTTTCGGTTTTTGAATTTTATGTTTAACGTTCCAAGCGAACTCTTATCAAACAAACTCAAAACATAATCTGTAGTGAAATAGTAAAAAAACAAAATAACTTTGGGAAGTTTCTATCTTTAGTACCAAAAGTAATTTAAACTTTAATCCAAAAAAAAACCTATTGCGTTAACATGATTAGATTTTAAGGAGCTTACAGCTGTACTCATAAATGAATATTAAAAGCAATTTTCGCACTCTAACTATTTTGATATTAAGCAGGAAATATTCTTTAAAAGTTTTGGTGAATTGTAAAATGAAAATGAAAAATGGATCCGTCGTTTCATATTTTTATTGCGAGCAAAAAATGTTAATATGATCAAAGTAAGTAGATGGATTTTAATAACAATCCCAAGGATTCATTTTGGCCCTTTCTCTTATTGCGTTACTGAACAAAAGTCGACAAGCCTAAAAATATCTAGAGCCTTTTGTCTAATTTAAGAAGCTTTTAAAGAAGAGGCCCTGTAATTAAATAAGATATAGTCAGTTCCGTACATGTTTAATCAAAACAAGAATTGCATTAAAATTATTTCTTATTGTTCAGAGAATGTTTAAACAGAGAAACTATTTTTTTCATTTTATTCAGTGTTTTTAGTGCAGTTAGTGAGCAGTTTTTTATTTTTTTATATTCTATTCTTAAAATACTGGATTCATTGATTCTTCATTGAAATTCAGGGAGTTTATAATAGAAGTACATTTAAATAAATACAAAAAAATATCATAAATTACAAATAGCAAAAATTAAGAATTAATAAACATATTATTAATACTTTCAATTTATTGACTTGTAATTAATTATTTGGACGACATTTTAAAGCATTGATAGTTTTAAAAATTATATACATACGAGACACATATATGTATTTCTGTAGATTAATAAAAATAATTCCAAAAATAATAATTATTAGAATATTGGAGATAATTTACAACAATGGGAAATATTAACTACTGAGGTCTGACTAAATTCATTGCATTCACACAATATTTGTATAGTTATAAATCACAACAACAATTAATTAATTTTAATAAAGTAGATAAAGTAAATTCAAGAACATCAAAACACTTAGCAAGTGCTTTGGTATCAATTGAACACCATTAGAAATCCCACTCTTGAAAGTTTTCGTTCCTACGAGAAATAATAGCTATTAAATATTTTTATTTTCTCCAGAGGGAATAGATTCTCACTTTTCTCATTCGGGTCTCGAACACCGCATGTCCGATAGGATATTGTAGGTTTGCGTTTTGTATTAACATAGCCCGGTACATAAAGACTAGGTGCATCTAGGCGTCCTGCAGCTATAAGTCGTGACATATCCTATAAAAATAAAATAAAATTTAGTGAATTTAGTTTTCTCGGTACAAGAACTCACCAACTCCAAACGTTGTGCTATTGGTCCTTTAAAATGTATAATCATTTGAATGCAAGCCCCATTATGTAGCTCCTTTGTTTTACGTGCGTCCACATCTAACATCCATTCGGGTATACCCATAACAGTTCGTAGTTCCTCTAAAAATTGAGCACTTAAATAAGAAAAAAAAATATTTTAATTTTATAATTATTAATTTTGATTTATTTAATTTTAATCAAGAGGCTATGTCTTTTTGTTAGTTCTACTTTTCTTTTAGTATTACTTACACAACAAAGCGTGGTGGCTTCTGCAAATTAATATATTTTATTATGTTATGATCTGGTTCTATATTGGCACATGCGAATCGTTCATGTGAGTGTTCTGGTCCAAATATAACAATTGACCGGCCTATAGCACCTACAGGTGACTCAAGTGGAAAGTTGGAATCCGTTAAGACGACACGTCCGTTGCCAAGATCTGAAAATATAATATGAACTGTTAAGAGAAGATTTGCAAAATTTTTATAGCAATTACCAATTGTACCAAGTCGTGCCCCCACATCTCCAACATAACACCGCAGGGGATTGTCTGGACCACATTCTTGCTCATATAAATCACGCTAAAAAGTTTGAATTGAAATGTTACATCCAATATTTACCATATTGTTTATATAGACGTATTTTAGATATATACATATGTATACAAGTATACATGGAAATTTATCGATCTACTATATTTTTCATATATATTTGCAATAAAATACAATATATATTCATATGTAATAATACTAGCATATCAGCGATTATACTTGCATTTAAAGGATCTGCTAGTTGTGTATAGTACGGATTCCAAACATAACCCCCAGCTACGCAGCGTGTGATGGTGGGCTTTACAGCAGCATCAACGCCTACTGGATTCACATAAATTTGCCAGTTGTGATTAAATGTCTATAAAAAGAGATTAATTTAATCACTTTGTGTTTCACTTGTAACTTAATTGAATGTACTTCTCTGTGTTACATACCACATTGCGATCGTTTTTGCCTGGATGACGGAGTTTTACCTCAATAACAGTATCAGATTGACTGCCATCAGTGTGTATCAACTGCGTCATTTTAATGTAACCGTAGGCATAACCTGTAGGATGATGGAATGAAGCGATAGCTCTCAACTCTCTCGCCTCACTTGGACTATAACCACGTTCAAGTGTACTGCAGGCCCAACGTGCATTACGCTGTTTCTTGTGAATAACTACAGATCGTCCAATGATACTGTTATAACCAAATAGTGGTAGACTTGTATCATTGAAGGCATCCTCATATTGTGTTAACTTTTCGAGTGTGCCGAACTTGCCACTTAAATCACCCATTTCGTACTGATCTGTAGTGCCTTGTCTGGGTAATGGTGAACTTTTGGGATTTACATTGTACGGATTCCAATGGCCGTACAGCGTTGATTCTTCACATGGAAATGCTAAGTTCGCTTCTACTGGTGTCTAAAAGCACATTTTTACATTTTTGAGTTTTAAATGTTTTTTATAATGAATGAGTACCTACCATGTGTACATGATACCCACTATTCTCCTTCAAGCCCTTCAATTGTACTTCTACGTTTGAAATGTCATATTCTGATTGTTGGGTAATTTCTACTTTTCCATTTACACTCAACTCATCGCCATTGGCGTACCAATCCTTTGCCACTACTTTTCGTCGGTAATATCCAATTATACTGATAATTACAAATTGAATTTATGTTTTTTAAACTGTTTGCCTGTATACTTACACCGAGCAAGCTAGGCGTTCACCTCTCGCTTTAGGTCCAAAGTCATCATAAATTACCAATGATTTTCCCAGTATATTGTGTCTACCAGAGAGTGGCAGATTAGTGTCAGTAAATAATAGACGGCTTAACTTTTGTGCACTTTTTTTACTGCCTGCTATATTTAATGTTCCTATACGCGTATCCATGCCACCTAATTTGCACATGGCGGGCAAATATGGTTTGCAGTAATCATCAGAGCTTCGATTTCCCCAATCAACTTTATAAGGATTAAAAATGTTTCCAGCAGAAATACAACGATTTTGCCAGTCATAAAAATCTTTGCCAGGTGCGCTGCTGTGTATCGCCCAACGGTGACTGAACGTGTTATTTTGTGTAGAGCCGTCCGCGTGTATTAAATATTCGAATAAAATAGTAGTGTCTTGCCATGATTCTTCTGCTGGCTGTCGAAATAGCACTCGTCCTACTATTGGATATCGAAACAGTACTTGTGCAGTAAACATCGGTTTCTGGTAAATATTATTTTTTTGGTATTGTGTTATTGTACTACAACTCCAAATTGATTCTGTGATATTTTCTATATTGGTGCGGTTGTAATTGTTAATGACAAGACTACGGTGAGCGATGCTATAAATTCCTTGTAACGGCAAGTAAGTATCCCAGTACAAACCACTGAGTTCAGCGCTTGTGCCTGGTAGAATATAGTGATGATAATAATCCTTGTTGCGCTCTTGTAACTTGCCACTAAGATCTCCTATTGGATATTGATCCTGAGTGCCATAACCTGGTGGAGGTATGTTGTCAATTAGCTCGAGTGGATTGTATATTTGGGCAGTGGATTGGCAGTACCCTGACTGACCCAACTCATATGGTACTGGAGGCAGCATATTCACTCTATAAGACGCGACGTCCTCTGCGAACTTGCGGATAATCGTATGAACTTGCGAAGCGGTTGATACTGTCGTAAAATTTAAAAATGTTGGATCGAATTTAGAGCGTTGTGTCATCGTTAGTTCAACTTTAGTGCCATCTTTGTTAATAAAAGATCTAAAAAAAATAATGAAGTGCGAAAATTTAGTAAAAATATACATTAAAGCAGAATAAACGTTACAAAAGCCCAAAAAAAGTATCTTTAAATCTTGCAAATGTGAATGAAGTGTTGCATAAAAAAAAAAATTTGTGTTTATTGTGAAATGATTTTTTACCTATAGGTCAATTGTTTAACATGTCTTATTTTTGTACAGGCCAAATAATTATCGGGATGTTGATTATCGAATAATACCAAATATAGTGTGCGGTGTGGTATGGTTAAATCGGAAGGGAGTAAAGCTAACTTTGCATCTCGAAAAACAGCGCGCTGTGGTGAACGCAACGCATTCTTTGCAACACGTAGTTTTCCCAATCTGCTATCCAAGTCTCCAATTCCTTTTCCAACGCCGTTGCCCTGTGGATCAAAGACGAGTTGCAAGAAATTGCAATTTTCCTCAGTGCGATGGTGATCATTTTTAAAAATATCCGTTACGTAAATTTTCCAATGATGAGTGGTCATTGGTTTTGTATGGTCTTCAGTGATGGGTTGAGACTGTATGTGATATAGATCCGAGTAAATGAGAGTATCGCCATTGGTATCATCTGTAGGTGCTAACCAACGGAAATGCACAGAACCGGCAATCGGAGTATGGAATCTAGCTTCAGCCATGTGTTCAACAGACATTTGAATCGTCGTTATGGTAGCGCAAATGCGTGCATTAGATGAGATTTCCGTTAGCACCAATGACTTGCCCCATATTCCATTTTCACCTTTATATTTAGGGAGAAATATAATTGTTAATTTTTAAATAAGGGGTTATAATAAATAATAATGTACCAATCAGTTGCATATGCCTATACCAACTAGTAGTTTCGTTTCCCGGTAGTACCAAATACTCAAGGTCATTTTCGAAATTCACTATTTGTTCACCCAATTTTTCCAGTTCACAGCGACCAGTAGGGTTAACATCGGTGTAATCTACTGGAAACTTACGCACACCCCAACTCCAAACCTGATATGGATACTGCAAAGTAGTTTCAAGATTAGCTTTGATCTCCACTGTAGTGGTATTCAACTGGCGGAATGTGATTTCACCATGCAGACCATGTTGAGAGAGGTAAGCGATCAAATGTTGAGCTGAACCTATACAAAAACGAAACTTTATTGCAAATTTACATGTTTTAAAAAGTAAAATTTTTTGAAAAAATAATTAAAATTGCTAATTTGCAAACCTTGGTTGAGTAATGCGAGAGAGCTGATTATGACTAAGTATATAGCACTAATATAGTTACTTAGTATAAATCGCATTATATGTATAATATCTTTAAATAATTTTCAATCTTTTATAATATCATAAAATATAAATTTTTGAAATTCATTAAAATTTTAATGTAGACATGACTTCATGAAGACAGATAATAACCACAACGTTTCACTTTCACATTTTGCTTGATTTCAACGCAGCTAAAAACACTTCGCTTCGCACAATCTCGTCTCAGAGTCACAAAACTACTAAAACCAGCTCAAGCTATGCCAGGCATTGTGGGTTGATTTAACTGAACTCACAAATGCTGGCTTAAAAGAAACACGCAAGTAACCGAGTTTTTGCGCCTTAATTTCTTTCTTTCTTCGTAACGAGTTCTTTGTTTTGGTCTTGAAATACGTAGAAACTGGTTAGGCCGCATGCAGCTCTCAGCTGATCCGCATACTAACGCCCTTGTTTACGTCTAACTGTTTAAACAGGTTTCAGAGCCGGTGTACGTTTAATATACAGGGTCACAAACGAGTTGGGTGCACTTTTTAATATACAAAATAAATGTGATTTTATGTAAAAATTAAATTTCTATGTTTTTCTAATGTTGAGTTTGTGGTGAATAAATACAGCGTGACATTCATTATGCGTTTTACTGCATACAAGCCAACATCAATTTCGTTAAAGATTAGTAAATTCAAAAATTTTACTAATTAAAATGTAAGTTGATTTATAAAATTATTTTTATTTAGGAGAACGTAAACAGAGGAAGTAAATAAGTCATTGTTAGCTATATATTAAAGACATTAAAAAAAGAATTTAATGAGTTAAAGTCTCTCATTATGGATTTAGCTTGGTAATGTTTTGCAAGAGGTAACTAAAATATCTATTTAAATTAAATTATTATATGTTGACTTGGGGAGATGGGTTGAAGTGCACTAATAGCAATAGCCTTCAGGAATAATTGGTGACAAGTTTATAAAATCTTATGTATCCACATGAACTAAATATTGAATTAAATATAAAATTGAAGATTAAATTTATTAAAATGAAATAAAATAGTTGAATAAGATTCAACAATATTTAAATTCAATATTAATATGCAATTTTTTATGATAAATTCAGATTATGTTTCTCTTCCTTAGAATAATATATAATGCATAAAATAACAAAAACTTCTACAAATAAGAAAAAAGTTTGTATGTATAATATATATAGTTTTTTATTATAAAAATATACATTATATACAAATATATATATGTACTTACTTACATACTCCTACATGTTTTAATTCAGTAACATTTACTTAGTAATTTTCTTCACTACTGAAATTTGCTTGAAATTTCTAATAACAGGCATAAATATATAATAAACTATGTGCATATCTGTATTGCCTTGTTAAGTCCTTGGACTACATTGTCCATACATACGGGACTTTGTTATATATGTTAAGAGAAGATGCCAGCGCAAATACCTTAAGCCAACATATTAACTAAATGCATGTGCTTGCAATTTATTAAATGAAGCTCCTATAAATTAACTTCGTCCTAATCTATGTAAATAATCACATTTAATATTTTATGCAAACAGCAAACATTTTTAATACCTGAACTCACACTATGCAATGATGGATATTACTCTGCATGGGATTCTTGGAAATAATTGCAGCAACAAATGTACACACAGCAATAATTGCTAAATCAATAAATCACTCAGCAACATATTTTTGTTCTCATAATTATTTTGTTAAGTTTAATTACTTGAAAAATTTGCTAGATTTGATATGGTTTATCTTTTGAACGAATTCATTAAAGTTTATTTTTTATTTTTAATACAAAGTATTTACAATATATTAACTTTAATTAAAATAATAATTTTTGTTTTTTGTACATTTAAGCACATTTAATATGGAAAATGGACATCTTTATTTTATTTGAGATCAAGATTGCAATTTTGAAACTTAATCCTTTTAAATTTTAGATTTTTATACTTGCAATTATAATTTATATTAAGAATAAATAGTGTACTTGTTTCAAATACGACGTCGGACACTATGTTAACATATTAACCATATTCTTAGCTAACCCTAAAAAATGAATCGGTTTTGCCGATACCTGTCTGTTAAGGTAAATAACATCATTGTAAATAAATAATGTTATGCCTTATATGTTACGTTTGCTAATAACATGTTGACTAGTCTTTGTTCCTTGTGTGTTAATGGGATAATAACTATGAGCAAGCTGGGATACTACCTGTCGGTAATTGACTAAAATGGAATAAAAATTTATTAACGTTTATGTTCTGATGATTTCTATTTTCTATATGAATTGATTTTTGTGTCAAAAAACTAATGCAATCCCTTCTATAGCTACTAAAGAAAAATAAAATTAAGATAAAAAGATTAAAATTTGTATTACAACTATTTGTGAGACATATATTTTAGGATTGGCAAAAGAAAAACTAAATAAATTGTTTGAAGTTGCATGCGGAGGAAGAATTTTTAGATTAAGGATATCAAATGCATCTAATTTGATGAACATGATTAAAAACGCATTACAGAGTACGAGCGTTAACATAGATTTTCTGTTGTTGCAATGAAATCGACAAACGTTTGTAATTTTAAATATAATTTAATATAATATTTTTATAACAGATATTTGCTATTGTTTCCAATTTATTTGTGTATATGATCAAAATTATTATAAATATTTATATTCTTACTTAAATGTTTATCACTAACAAACTAAAAAGCGTTGCGAACTATTTTGATTTCAGAATTTTAGCAATTCCAATGTCTGCAAATTGAGAGTTTCTAATTTTGAATACAGCAACAGCTATGAAGTGTACTGTTGCACATATACAGATACACACGCAATATAAAATAGAAAACAAAAGCAGTTACAGCGAGTTTTCAGTCCACAGAGACCTTGCATTAACACACATAACAGCAATGAGCACCTCAACAAAAACAATGACCATGATGAAAGCACACTGATGCTGTAGTGGATTTTCACATATTTGTTGTTGCTGTGTTAATAACATTGTGGTTACAGTTGTTGTTGGTGTTAAACAACTGTGCTGTACTGTGCTGTTGATGTGCGACAAGCGGCAGACAACACTTCAAGTAATATTTATAAAAAATTAAACAGAATTTAGCACTTGTTTCCTCTGAAATTTATTGGTGTGCAACACGCCCCTATGTTTGGGTGTTTTGTAATGATACTTTGTCAGTCAGGCTCTAAACGCACAAAATAATTGATTGCAAACAAAGTGTTTGCTGCTCTTCCTGACAAAAGGTGCTTACAGAAATACAATTGCAGTTACGTTTGTGCATGTGTTTGGTTAGGCATTTCCCAGCGGGACTTTCAGCGCTGAGGGAATCGATTCCCTCAGCGCTGAATGGTAATGCCTAGCGCTGATTATTCAAATGAAACTCCTAATTACTTTAACACGTGTATGTCATTGCGGGCAAGCGCTGAATCGTTCGATTACCTTTTCAAATTTGTAATGCAACATATCAGCGCTGACATGTTCGCTTACTTTTTCGAATTTGTAATGCAACATATCAGCGCTGACATGTTAGCTTACTTTTTCGAAATTGTAATGCAACATATCAGCGCTGACATGTTAGCTTACCTTTTCGAATTTGTAATGCAACATATCAGCGCTGACATGTTCGCTTACCTTTTAAATTTTACCTATGCTATTGATTTTTAAATAAAATACTATAAATTTTTTTGGATAAATTATATTTTATATTTATGTTTTATAAAATTAAAATATTAATATTTACATAAAAAAATATAACATACTTATATAGATGAATATTTTTCTGGAAATTGTTACTAACACCTTGAAGAGATTTCCAGACTCGACTCGATCACTTGTTCCGGCTTACCATCTGTACTTAAAGCATCTGTAAATACAAAAGTATGTTATTGTATACGCTAAAGTTAATTATGTACAATATACCATACCAAAAAGTGCTGCTGTCACATTCTCTAACGCTCTTAAGGACTTCTTGCCTTGGGTACCATTCTCCAAAATTCCAGGAAATTTTTCGCGTAATTGGTTGTTTTTTAATAACGCGTCTCATTGATGCAGTCTATAAATAACGTAATAGATGAAAAGAAATGTATGAATTAGTAAAATTGTTACATGTGAATATATTAATAAGTTGAAATTGAAAGTAAGAAACATATATAATTTAACTTACAACTACTTCAACGGCAGTGATTTCTTCATTAAATTGAATTAAATCCTCCTCAGTTTGAATTGTAAAATTTTCCAATTGAAACAGCTGACTACATGACTACAGCTGATTACCCCTTGCTTTAGAATGACTGCATTCGCAGCACATTGGTCATTTAATCGTTCTTGACGCAGTAGCATCTACATAATACAAAACAAAAATTTCAATTATCATTTTAAATATATTTACTTAATTTTGCATATACTTACAGTGAGTTTATGTGAAATTACAAATTATATTTTATTTATATTTTTGCTTTTTATTTGATTTTAAAAATTAAAAATTGTTCACTGTTCGCACTTCACTAAAATCAAAAGCAGACTAAATGTATACAATGTAGGCAAAACAAGAAATTCTTAATACTCCTTTGCTTTTCTTCTTCATTCTTTTATAATTTCAACTCCGAAATTGCCTGTGTCGAACACAAATGTCGAAAACAAAGAAAAATAAAAACGAAGAGCTATTACCTCGTCGCTTACTTTTTCAGCGCTGGCATAATGGTGCCGCTGGGTTTAAACTGTTTGTGTTTGTGGTCATTGGACGCGTTTAGTGCGTGTTCAACATTAATTTACATTCTAGCTTTCGTATTGATGTAGCGTTAATGAAGATTAAAGGTGCGTTCAGTTTATGCTAAATTTCATATCTAACTAAATTCGATATTTTTTAATTTCGTTGAATTGTTTTATGCGATTTATGCGATTTTCGATATTAATATTAACAATATTAATGTATCGTTCATGTTAATTAAGTTTCAAATATTATTTTTTATTGAATATATACTAGACTTGAACCAACTAAAACCACCTCTTAGGAATGAATGAAGAAAATTTTCACAATGTGGAAATTTCATTCCAATAATCAGGGTAGAGAGATGTGGACGGGAGGCCTAATACCTAGGTTTCTCTAAACCAGATATGTATACTGGTTTCACTAGGCTACTATATAGTACTAGTACTAAACAAAGTAATAGTCATTTCGTGGAACTT